GGCCTGGAATTCACTGTGTAGACCAGGCTGGCCTTGACCTCACAGAGATCTGCCTGCTTTGGCTCCTGAGTGCTGGGATTAAAGATGTGCACCACCAAGCCCATCCCATAATAGCTCAATTGGAATGTTACTGAATACTAGTCTTTCAAGGGAATAATTTTTCTTTTAAAAATAGATATTTTAGGAGCTAAGAAAACATCCCAGTGGGTAAGAATGCTTGCTCTACAAGCACGAGGACCTTAGTTCTAATCCTTGGTGCCCACATAAAAAGCCAGGCATGGCTGCAGATGTCTGTAATAGTAGCATTAGGGGGTGAAGACAGGTGGAACCCAGAAGCTTACTGGCCAGGGCCTACCCTAAATAGCAAGCTTGCCATTCAGAGAGAGACCCTGTCTCAAAGCAACAAGGGGAGAGCGATAGTCATAGACACCCCACGTCCTGCTCTGGCCTCCACATGCATGCACAGGCAGACGTGCATCATCACACTCGCACGCAACACACACACACACATATACACACAAATACATTTTTTTTCACTTGATTAGTTTGTATTTAGTTGAGCAATGCTAAATTTTGACTCAAATAAGCTGACATTGTTATTTTTAAACTACATTTGTAGTGAAGTATATCGTAGTATGTAAGTACTTGAACCATAAAATAATGCTAGGCAGTGCTACTTAATAACTAGTTATGTGACTTTAGGCAAGTTCCTAAACTTAATTTTAGTTTTTTTCTCATCTAAAATTGGAGAAATGATAACCTCTTTTATAAGGTCATGAAGCTTATATTAAGTACCATCCGGCATAATGCTACCAGAGTACCTCGTCTTAATAACTGATAATCATTGTATTACATGATGGTCAGTTAGCATACTTACCTGGAATGTCTGGAATTGCAAATCAGTACAAAACAAACTGTTCTTCTCAGACATAAGTAATGTCCATTGTTAAATTGGCTTACATGATGAGTGTTGCATAAATTTGATACTTCTTAGTAATAATATTAATGGTAATATAATCACTGGCTTTTAGTAATCACCATTGTTGGTTTTTCTCTGTTAAACTTAAGCAAGTGTAATGCTAGCTATTAAGGTATCTTATTTTGCTGTCTTATTATGTGAAAATGGACTTTTGTATATTTGTAAAGCTGATTTAAAGATTATATAGCCAATTTTAAAGTTGCACAGGGCTCGGGGTGTAGCTAAATGGTTGAGTAAGTACTTAGTATGCAGATTCAGTCCTCAGCACACTGTAGGCAGATGTGAATAGCCCCAGGTACTACTTTACTGAGTGTTGTCTAGAGTAGCCTGTGCTTGAGTCTAAACTGCATATCTTTAACCAGAAGTGATTCTGGGTGCATTAAAGATATAAACACAGAAACCCTCTAAATGCTCTTAGAAGAACCAGGGGGACTTTTCTTAATCTCAGAGACACAGGCCAGGCTATGAAAGGCAGGCAGCACGAAGAGTCTCTCTGCAGGCAGAAACTAGCATAGGGGCAGGGGCCAGCCTGTTGGTAGGCCGCTTACCCAGCATACAAAACCAGTGTGAGTGAAAAATGAAGAACAATGGCAAACGGATGGAAATATATGCAACCCACCTGTTTTGTCAAATAATAGCTCTTAATCATGAGAAGTCATGATTTTTTAATGGGAAATGCTTATTAAAACTATACTGAGGTATTTTTTCATCTACAAGATTAGTTAACATAGCTTTCTAGGTAAGGGGGCTCTTTTATTCAGTGCTTTGGGACTGCAAAGAGCATTTCTACCAGTTATACTTTGTAGGGCCTTCATATGTTGGTAAGCTTACAGTTGTATGAGATGATGTGTGTGCAAGGCTTATGCACTGAATCACTGTGTGTTAGGAACAGAATGGAACCAACTCAGGCATTCACATCCAACTAATGATAGAGACATAAGCACACCCATTGAGATGCTGTGCTAACCCGAAAGATGACATTCTTTATATGCAAGTTTGTGGTGAGCTCCAAGATAACATCAGTTAAAACATAACTGTCTTATGCACTAGAATCACTGTGTGATAGGAACAGAATGGAACCAACTCAGGCATTCACATCCAACTACTGATAGAGACATAAGGACGCCCATTGAGATGCTGTGCTAACACAGAAGATGACACGCTTTATGTGCAAGTTTCTGGTGAGCTCCGAGATACCATCAGTTAAACATAACTGTGTGAGACGGAAGGCATAGTTCAGTGGTAGAGTGTCTGCCTAGTATGCCTGATGTCTCCCAGAAACGCCCCATGAGAAATGTACAGTAATGTGTAATACATTACTGTATCTGAAATGTGAGCAAAGCAAATGCCTGAAAGCATTTTTATATGCAAAAGTATTTCTAGGAGCATATATAAGGATTTAGGTGAAAATTTTTATTACCTCTGGGGAGAGTAACTGGGGAATTGGGACTGGGAAATTTTTTCACTCTAATTGACTAGAGACATTTATAAAATATTGAGACGATATTATTTCATCAAAGATATGCTTATTTAGAACAATATAAACTGTGGGCTATTTCATGCCTTGATGTTTAGATTTTTATCTCAGTCTGTATTCATTTTGGAGAATGCAATATTTTAGCATATCTTTTTTTTTGGCCTTTTTTGAGACAAGGTCTCCCTGTAGCTCCAGTTCTGCTGGAACTCACTATGTAGACCAGGCTGGCCTTGAACTCACAGAGATCCATCTGCCTCTGCCTCCCGAGTGCTGGTATTAAAGGCATGTGCCACCACGCCCGGCCGCCATTTCTTTTTTTAAAAAAATATTTTATTTATTATTTTGTGAGTGCACCTGTGTCATGCAGGGCTGTGGAGGTCAGAACTGGAGTTAAGGACTGTTCATAGCCGCCATGTGGGTGCTGGGAATCAAACTCGAGTCCTCTGCAAGAGCAGCCAGTGCTCTTAACTGCTGAGCTATCTCTCCAGCCCCAAAGCCATTTCTTTTTAAGTCATTTTCATAATATGCTGTTGATGTATATGGCAGATTCATCAAAAAAAGGGATTATTAAAAAAAGGGATTATGTAATGCAAGCTATTTGGTATTAAAGATAGGTTTTCCTTTTTGGTATTGTGTATGTTCAGAACTAATGTACAATTTATTTGAATTAAAAATTTTATTTATGTATTTTTATATGTATGAGTGTATTGCCTGCATGTAAGTGTGGTCATGTCATGCAGTGCCAGCAGGGGACAGAAGAAGGTGTTGGATCCCCTGAAACTGGTCTTAAGGGAATTGAACTCAGGTCCTCTAAAAGAGTGGCCAGTGCTCTTAACCAGTGAGCCATGTTTCCAGCCCTATAGCTTATTTTAAACCTCTGTAATTGTTTCTAATTTGTTGTCTAGAATTTGGGCTTAGTAAAATGGGTTTAATATTTGTGGTTTGTTTTTATTCCTGCATAACCAATATTTTATTAGTAAAGTTCAGTGTTTTGCACATCTACAAATAATCAGCTGCAAATATTGTCTTTAAGCACATTTTTTCTAAGGTAACATTTTTTTTTTGTTATAGGCAGTAGCATTTGATGGAACACTGTTTTTAAAATCTGGAGTGATCTCTGGAGGGTCAAGTGACATGAAACACAAGGCTCGATGTTGGGCTGAGAAAGAATTAAACACTCTAAGATACAAGAGAGGCCAGCTAATTCAAGAACTGAAGGTAAACCCTCATGGAGTTCTGAAATAGTAAGGAGATAATTATGCAAAGCTATTTCATTTTCTTAATAAAAATAAATTCTGTGAATTGCTTATTTCCTATGCCCATTGATTATGTATGTTGCTTATCTTTAGTTATTTGTACAGTAACTAAATTAGTCCTCATATTATACATGTTTTCTTTGAATTTTTAAAAATATTTATTTTATTATGTATATGTGGGGGGTCAGATGCTCATAGAGGCCAGAAGAGGTCATCAAGCAGTAGTTAGCCACCCACTGTAGATGTTAGGAACCAAACACTGGTCTTCTGAAAACACATCAAATGCTCTTAACCACTGAGCTGTTTCTCCAGCCCCTCTCTCTGGCTTTTTAAGTAGCTTTATTGGGATATAGTTTATATACAATAACAGTCATCAGTTTTAAGTGTCCAACCCAGTAAGCTGAGACAAAGTTCATAATTCTCTAACCACTGCCACTTTTCTGTATAAAGTACTCCCAATCACCCTTGCAAAATTCCTCTGTGCTCCTGTGCAGCCACTGCTACAG